TAGAGTCAGCATATAGCCCCCTACAATCTAGGTTCTCATTTTACCCACCTCAGAAGGACGGAAGGTGGAGTCGACCTGCTTCAAGCATAGAATTTTATAAGACTTCCAGACTTATAACCATTTTCTGCATGTAATCCTCCATGATCTCTCATGACTTCTTCCACTTTGTCATTTTCCACAAATTATTGCAACACTGGTATCATAAAAGCCTACCAATTGAGAGGGTCTCTTGTGTTCGTCTGTACATATTCATAATAGATTTCTGATCTATAAATACAAAAAAATAAACGTTTTTTTATAACTACTCCTTAATGTCCTAATTCCTTTTCTTTAGATGGCAGCCAACTGGGCCATTTTTTAATAGTAATTTTATTAAGCCTTACAATTAAAAAGATAAAAATGAATATGCTAGAATAACAAAAATAAATAAATAAATAAATAATAAAGTTGGAAGGGACCTTGGAGGTCATCTAGTCCAACCCCCTGCTTAGGCAAGAAACCCTATACCATTTTAAACAAATGGCTTTCTAGTCTCTTCTTAAAAACTTCCAGTATTGGAGAATTCGCAACTTCTGGAGGCAGGTTGTTCCACTGGAGGCAGGTTGTTCCAATTGTTCTAACTGTCAGGAAATTTCCCCTTAGTTCTAGGTTGCTTCTTTCCTTGATTAGTTTCCTTCCATTGCTTCTTGTCCTGCCTTCAGGTGCTTTGGAGAATAGCTTGATTCCCTCTTCTTTGTGGCAACTCCCGAGATATTGGAACACTGCTATCAAGTCACCCCTAGTTTTTCTCTTCATTAAACTAGACATACCCAATTCCAGAAATCGTTCTTTATGTTTTAGCCTCCAGCCCCCTAATCATCTTTGTTGCCCTTCTCTGCACTCTTTCTAGAGTCTCAACATCTTTTTTACATCGTGGTGACCAAAACTGGATGCAGTATTCCGAGTGTGGCCTTACCAAAGTGTTGTAAAGTGGTATTAACACCTCATGTGATCTTGATTCTACCTCTCTGTTAATGCAGCTTAGAACTTTGTTGGCTTTTTTGGCAGCTGCAGCACACTGCTGGCTCATTTAAAGTGATTGTCCACTATGTCTCCAAGATTCCTTTCACAGTTACTACTACTGAGCGAGGTATCACCTATACTGTACCTGTGCATTTGCTTTTTCTTACACAAATGTAGAACCTTATTTTTTTCACCATTGAATTTCATTTTGTTAGATAGCGCCCAATGTTCAAGTCTGTCAAGATCCTTCTGTATCTTGAGCCTCTGGAGTGTTGGCTATTCCTGCCTGCTTGGTATCATCTGCAAATTTAATGACTTCCCCATCTATCCATTATCCAAATCATTGATGAAGATGTTGAAGAGTACTGGGCCTAAAACAGAGCCTTAGGGTGCCCCACTGCATCCTTCCCTCCTTGTAGATACAGTTCCATTGACGACTACATGTTGAATGTGATTGGTCAGTCAACTTCCCATATGTCATCTCTTATCTACATACATATTTTTAAAATCTCATTCAGTCCCAGTCAGCAAAAGTACATTAAAGGTTACTAGAGAACAACATATTTATTTTCACATTGATCAAATAAAACAACTTTATATTCCTTCCTTTTACTTTTAACCATCTTAATCTTTAATCCTTTCTAATAATGTTCTAAAACTTTATTTCTTTTAATTTATTCTGTGTTTCTTCTCAGAAAATTCTTTAGGATTTTTAGGATCAAGCCACTCTTGATATTTGTTGTTTATATATCCCTTTAATTAAGACAAAAGCTGGTTTCATTTTTTTTTTATTAAAAGTTTTACAAATTTAATATAATATAACCCAAACCCCTCCCACCCCTTCCCCCCTCCCCCACTTCCCAGAGCTGGGTAACAAATAAGCAATCATAATCTAACAAACATTACCTGACTATACTATCAATCAATCAATCTATAACATACTTTAACTCCTTTTCAAAACAAATGTTAACTAATTAAAAACAAAAATAATAATATAATTAAACCATAACACTAAAAATAATATAAATTTGACCATATTAAACTATTAATAATAATCTAAAATCTATTCATAAGCAAGATAATACTTTTCAGTCTCATATTTCTTTTGAATATAATCAATCCATCTTCTCCAGACCGAAATATATTTTTCTTGTGAATGGTCCTTCAAATAGGCGGAGATTTTCGCCATTTCTGCTAAATTAGACACCTTAAGTATCCATTCTTCCATAGAAGGCAAAGAATTTTTCTTCTAATATTGCCCCACCAATAATCTTGCAGCTGTTATAAGATTCAGCATCAAATTAATTTCTTTAACATCAAAATCAACCATAATACCCAACAAAAATAATTGCGGACTAAACTTTAGCTTTCTCTTTAAAATCTTTTGAATATTCCACCAAATCTTAATCCAAAAAGCTTTTATATCTCTATAAGTCCACCAAATATGAAAATAGGTTGCATCTAAACTTCCACATCTCCAACATTTGGGCTGTAAATTAGGATACACGCGGGACAACTTTTGGGGATCCAAATGCCATCTATAAAACATTTTATAAAAATTTTCTCTTAAATTTTGCGCTTGGGTAAATTTTACATTTCTAACCCAAATTGTCTCCTATGTATCCAATAAAATCGGCTCTTGAATATTTTGAGCCCATTTAACCATACAATCTTTAACTAACTCTGTTTCAGAATCCAATTCTATTAAAACATTATAAATTCTCTTTATATGGGCTCAAGTTTGATTTTTAATCTGTTTTACCAAATTCACATCCTCTAAAGCAGTGATTCTCAACCTTTCTAATGCCGTGACCCCATAATACAGTTCCCCATGTTGTGGTGACCCCCAAGTGGGTGTGGCCACCAATAAGAGGGAGTAGGACAGCTAGGGAAAAGGGGAAAAATGGTGGACAGCATGGTTTGGCGACCCCCGTGAAATGGTCATTTGACCCCAAATGGGGTCCCGACCCACAGGTTGAGAACCACTGCTCTAAAGTAATACCAACCTTTTGATCTAAACTCCACGTAACTAACAATTGATTATACTGAAACCAAGAGTGTACAATATTTTCTTGCTTCAGCTCAGTTAAAGACTTTAGTTGCCAATCCTTCCCTACAAAACTAAGTAATTCCTTATAAGAAATCCTATCCAAATTCACTCCCCTAGATATTCCCTCTATCACGTGTCCAGGAATCCCCCAAATTGGAATCTTATAATTTAACCTATAATAATACTTCTTCCAGACACACAACAAAGCACTTCTCAAAATATGGGATTTAAAAACCTGATCTACTTTTTTGTCATAAATTAAATATGCATGCCATCCATATAATAAATCCCATCCCTCAAGAAAAAGGATATTTTTATTTGTTAAATTGAGCCAATCACAAATCAGCGTTAACGCCACCGCTTCATAATACAATTTTAAATTAGGCGCCTTAAGTCCTCCTCTTTCCCGTGCATCTTGTATAATCTTAAACTTAACTCTTGGTTTTTTCCCTGCCCAAATAAACTTATTAATCCCCTTCTGCCATTCCTCCAAATTAACATCTTTTTTCAAAATAGGTATCATTTGAAACAAGAAAAGAAACTGGTTTCATTTGTATAACTAGTATAGCTTCTTTTGCCATATAATTTTTGTTGCTTATAATTTTTAAATCCATTTTTAGATCAGTCTCAATCTTATTCAGTAAAACTTCCATATCATGTTTCTCTTCCATGTCATCATTTAAACACTGTCTATTTTAACTCTTCATTTTACCACAGTCATCAGTTCCATTAAAAATAGAGCCATCTTCATTTTACCATTTCTTCCCCAGAAGTCTGTGCCAATTGGGTCCTTCTGTCAGAGAAAAGTCATCAAAGGTGCCAGGAAATGTTTTTAGTGCAAAGTAATTTTTTTCTCCTTTTGTTACTGTTCTAAGGAGCATTTGCTAATTTATCCTGCTTAAAGGTATTTTAAAGCTTTCCAATAAAATCAATAGGGCTTAATTTTGCTTACCCTCAGTGGGATTGAACTCATTTGCTCCTTCAAAACCTAACACTCCTTAGCACTTCAGTGATGCCTGCTTGTGAGGAATTACTTTAATTCTCATTTGTTCATTTTGTTCTCTTTTGGCTAAGCATCTTCTGCCCTAAAGACATTTAAATATCTAAACTCAAAAACATATTTTCCTCGGAAATTTGCATTTCCAGATATTTCACTAAGTAGAAATCGAAAGCTTTGGGGTTTGCCTTAAGGCTGATCTGTCTTGGGAATGTGGCAGTAGCACCAGGATGATGCAGAGAGGAACAACAACAAATGAGTGTCAAAAGTATTCCAGTTTAATGATCAGTTATTTCCAATCTTTCAGTGAGCAAGCAAGGTAACTGAGGTGAACATAACTGCTGTAGCTAGGACCAGAAGGCATAGCCACAGCCTAAATCTGGTTAACAGCATGGGAGAGTCTTTTTGTGTATCTCAGTAGCTCCGCTTTGGTTTCCAACAACCAGCAGTGCTAATACAAGTAACAGTCACCCTCCCCCCTATAGATGAGATCAGAATCTTGTCAACAGTTATGCTGCACATTTATAGGCAGTTTTACCTACAGGTAAATTGCAAAACAGCTGTGTGTCTTCAGACAATCAATTGTTCTCTAATTAGCTTTGATTCTGCAGTTCCTTTTTTGTGGGGGTCAAATGAAATTAATTGCCTGAGGGGATCCAGCTCAAAATGATCTCCACAGGTATTTGTTCCAGGTGGCAAAATGGATTTTTGCACCCACTTCAAGAGAGCAAAGATGTTGACTGAAACTTGATTTTCACTGCATGGTAATGGCAAAAGAAATTGTTTATTGAGCAAAGAGGGGAAAGTATTGATTAAAACTGCTGTAAGAGAGTTTCTTCAGTTCTAAGCATATAGCACTCAGTGGTCAGAAATATGATAGTAAGAATGTAGTGGGCACCAGGTGATATTGTAAATAAAAAGCAACAGCTTTACTCCTTGTTTTCCCCATAGGAATGCCCTAGTGGAGCTGTTAATGAAGAAACATTCAAACAGATCTATGCACAGTTTTTCCCTCATGGTGGTGAGTGACAACATTTCTTTTTTTGAGAATAGCTAGCTTAAAATATAGAACTCATGAGTTAGACATAGCATTGTGCATAGCATAGGTAATTTATTTGTGGTTTCCTTTTTTCTCCATCTATAGTTTTTGTGAACTGAGAAAGAAGGAAACCACAAATAAATTACCTATGCTATGCACAATGGAAAATGAGAATCTCTCATCTATACTCTTTATATCCTGGCTTTCAGAATCAAAAATGAACCCAGACAATATTCAGTCCAGCTCTGCCTATGTTTATTTTCATTATTTGAATAATATAATCTTCAATTGATTTGTATTTTTCAGATGCTAGTATGTATGCCCATTATCTTTTTAATGCATTTGATACAGCGCAAAATGGATCTGTGAAGTTTGAGGTAAAGAAATCATAAGTGTTTTAATAATCTTCACGTGATTGTACCGAATACCACATTTTTAATTGCTGATAGAATGCCCATTTGTCCTTAGTATGAGCAATAAGCATTACTTTGTGTGTTTATGTGCAAATCTGAGCAAATCTCTGTGTGCATAGACCTACATGAGGTCATTATGATCTCTTTAATAAGTTATTTCCTATACAAAATGAATGGAAGTCATGCAAATGCATGGGCTTTGGGGTTTTTACCCTATTGTATCAATATTTTACAATGCAAATGTTTGGGATAGTTGATTCAATCAGTAAAGCTATGAATTCTAAAATGGATAACTCATATCTAAATATTTATTCATACCTGATTCAATGCCTATAATAGGCTTCTTAAGCATGCCTAAAATATGGCACATTTTCTTCCACTTTCTACCATTTAATAGATTTAATAATATAAAAAAAAATAATATAGTCATCTGACTTCCCATTCTTTCAACTGTTTTAGAAAAGTTGCCATCTAGGTAGAGCCTGAATCTTACTGTCCTGACCTTTGAATTGACAAAGGCATTAAGTATAACTGAACATTTTTATATGAGATCTTGGTTCTAATAAAGCATCATTTGCAAACGTTACTCAATCGAAAGCTCAGAGAAAGCATTTTCATTTGAGTAAAGCAAATTAGTATTCGGTTAAATCAGATTTTAATTTGTATTCCTGGATTCACAGGATTTTGTGATGGCGCTCTCCATTCTTTTGAGAGGAACAGTTCATGAAAAACTACGATGGACATTTAATCTCTATGACATAAATAAAGATGGCTATATAAACAAGGAGGTAAGGTGATTTATAGTATTCTCCAGGGTTTGGGTGGCTGATTAAACCTGCAAAATGCAATTCAGGATTGGCATCAACCTACCCACTATAAAGTTTTCTATTACTAGCTCTGGATTAAATCTTTCTAAAAAAAAAAAAATGAATAATGAATGAGCTTTTAGTATATATAAATTATCAGTATCTATGCATTTCTAACCATCTTGTCAAACATCTGCTGTACAAAATATAGAATAACTGTTAGATCCATATAGACAAAGGGCATTAAGCTTTTTTCCCACACCCTGTTGGAGCTAAATCTGTCTTGCTATAAGGAGGAATTCTGTTTTTATCCTGAGACTGATTTTGCTTTCCATGTTGCTTTAGTTCAGGGCTAGCTGAGAAAACCACTTAATGCTTAAAACAAGCAGGGAAGGGAATATTACAAGCAAGTATCTATTTTTTCTGGAATTCATTAATAAAACAACAAAGATACAGGATTTATAACAGGGAGATATATGAAACATAATGTTAGACAAATTATTAACTTAATTGAGTACTTGGATAAGAATAATCAGATTCCTGTGGCTTTTATTTTTTGGGACGCTGAAAAAGCTTTTGATCAATTGGACTGGCAATTTTTATTTTCTTTGGTAGAGAAAATGAATTTTGGGGATAATTTTTTACATGCACTTAAAGCTATATATCAGCAGCAATCTGCACAAATTGTTGTAAATGGGGGATTGACTAAGAATTTTAATATTCAAAAAGGGACAAGACAAGGATGTCCATTATCCCCATTGTTATTTTTTTTTTTTATTAAAGAGTTTTATAAATTTTACAAAAAATAAAAAACAATACAAAAACAAAAAACAACATATACAAATAAAAAACAAACATTACCCAACAAAACCCCCCTTCCCCCACCCCTACCCAAACCCCCCCTTCCCCCCCCCCAGGACCTCCCAGAGCAGAATATAGGCTTAATTAAAGAAAAAGTTAAAAAAAATTATAAAAAAAGAATATAAAATAGAAATATATATATATATATAAAGTTAAAAATTATGAAAAAACTATATAATATTTTTATATCAAATTTAAATTGTATGAATTTTATCCATTTATCCCAAACAGCAAGAAATTTCTCTTGCGTTTGTCCCTTTAAGAAAGCCGAAATCTTTGCCATTTCCGCCAAATGAGACACTTTAAGAAACCATTCCTGCAATGTAGGCAAAGATTCCTTCTTCCAATATTGTCCTACTAACAGCCTCGCAGCTGTTATCAAGTTTAACATCAATATAACCTCCTTTGTGTCACAATCAGTAACTATACCTAACAAAAATAATTGTGGAGTAAATTTTACCCTCCTTTTAAAAATTCTCTGGATATTCCACCATATCTTAATCCAGAATGCTTTTATCTCTCTGCACGACCACCAAATATGATAATAAGTAGCATCCATACAACCACATCTCCAACATTTAGGTTGTAAGTCAGGGTACATAAAAGACATTTTTTGTGGATCAAGGTGCCATCTATAAAACATTTTATAAAAATTCTCCCTTAAGTTCTGTGCTTGTGTAAATTTGACATTTCTCACCCAAATAATTTCCCAGGTGTCCAATGGAACTGGCTCACCAAAATTCTGCGCCCATCTAATCATACAATCTTTAATTAGTTCCGTTTCTGAATCCAATTCAACTAAAATCCCATAGATCCTCTTAATGTGGGTTTGTCTTTGATCCTTCACTTGCTTAATAAGATTTTCATCTTCTCTGTAAAAACCCACCTTACAGTCCATCTTCCATCTATCTAATAATTGCCTATATTGGAACCAAGAATAAATAATATTTTCTTGTGCTAACTCTTCCCGTAATTTTAACTGCCAGTTTTGTCCATCCCATTTAAGTAACTGTCTATAGGACACCATATCCATTTTAACCCCTCTTTTTATTCCTTCTATTGCATGCCAAGGTACGGCCCATAATGGTACTTTAAAATCACTTTTGTAATATTTTCTCCAAACCCTAAGTAAAGAAATTCTTAAGATATGAGATTTAAAAGCCCAATCCATTTTTTTATTAAATATTAAATAGGCATGCCAGCCAAAAAGTAAATTCCATCCCTCTAAGTGAAGTATATCAGAATTTGTCAAATTTACCCAGTCACTAACTAATGTTAAAACCACCGCATCATAATATAATTTCAAATTCGGCACCTTGAGTCCTCCCCTCTCACGGAAATCTTGCATAATTTTAAATTTAACCCTTGGCGTTATTTGTTTTAATATTGGAAATTTTATTGACTCAGATTCGGGAATCGAAGTTAATTAAGGGTGTAAAGATAAGGAAGAATGAGTATAAATTGCGAGCATTTGCGGATGATTTGGTTTTAATTTTGGAACAACCGAACCAGGCGATTGATGGTTTATTAGAACTTATAACACAGTATGGGAATGTTTCTGGTTTTAAAGTTAATAATTATAAGACTAAGATATTATCTAAGAATATGTCAGTTAAAGAAAGGGAAAGTTTGATTAAAGCCACAGGTTTTCAGATGGTAAAAAAGGTTAAATACTTGGGAGTATATCTAACTGCTTCAAATGGAAAATTGTATAAGAACAATTACGAACCACTATGGGCAAAAGTCCAAAAGGATTTAAGAGATTGGAAAAAATTGCAATTGTCATTGTTGGGGAGAATTTCAGCTGTAAAAATGAATGTTCTACCAAAGTTTCTTTTTTTGTTTCAGATGATACCTATTCTTAAAAAAGAGGCAAATTTGGAGGAATGGCAAAAGGGTATCAATAATTTTATATGGGCCGGGAAGAAACCAAGGGTTAAATTTAAGATATTACAGGATGCTCGAGAAAGAGGGGGACTTAAGGCACCTAATTTGAAATTATATTATGATGCAGCCGCCCTAACTTGGTTAAGTGATTGGCTTAATTTAACAAATATGGATATTCTTTTTTTGGAAGGTTGGGATTTAATATATGGTTGGCATGCATATTTAATTTTTAATAAGAAAGTTGATCGGACTTTTAAATCACATATTTTGAGGAATGCCTTACTTCGTGTTTGGAAGAAGTATTATTATAGATTAAATTATAAAATACCTATCTGGGGGATTCCCAGACATGCAATTGAGGGAACCTCTAAGGGGACAAATTTTGATAAAATCTCGTATAAAGAATTGTTAATTTGTTCTGGTTCGAATTGGCATTTGAAATCCCTAGATGTATTAAGGCAGCAAAATATTCTACAGTCATGGTTTCAATATTTACAAATAATGGATAGATGGACTGTAGACAAGAAAGAGAGAATAACACTAGAAGATAGACAATTGGTTATTCAGATTAAAAACCAAGGTCCAGCTCATATAAAAAGAATATACAATGTTTTATTAGAGTTAGATTCGGAAACAGAATTGGTTAAAAACTGTATGATTAAATGGGCTCAGAATATACAGGAGCCGATCTCATTGGATTTATGGGAGACAATTTGGATAAGAAATGTTAAATTTACACAAGCTCAAAATTTGAGAGAAAATTTTTATAAAATGTTTTATAGATGGCACTTAGATCCTAAAAAATTATCTTGTATGTATTCCAACATACAGCCCAAATGTTGGAGATGTGGCAATAATGATGCGACATACTTTCATATTTGGTGGAACTGTAAAAAAGTAAAGGCTTTTTGGATTATGATTTGGTGGAACATTCAAAAGATTTTTAGAAAAAAGATAAAGTTTACTCCTCAACTATTTTTACTTGGTATTTTTATTGACTTAAATGAAAAAGAAACTACTTTGATGTTGAATTTATTAATTGCAGCAAGGTTACTAGTAGGTTTATATTGGAAGAAAGATTCCTTGCCTACTTTAGAAGAATGGATATTTAAAGTATCTAGTTTTGCAGAAATGGCAAAAATTTCTGCTTATTTAAAGGATCATACACAAGAAAGATATATTACTGTATGGGGAAGGTGAATAGATTATATTCAGAAAAAGTATGGAATTAAAAAGTTTCATTTATTTTATGAATGAATATTAAATATTATAGAGAATTGTTTTATAGGTTATGGAGTTAAAAGTTAATTATGATATTTTTTTCTCTTTTTTCTTCTTTTTTCTTAATTATTATAATTTAATTTTTTTTAACCCTGTATTCTGCTCTGGGAAGTGAAGGGAGGGGGGGTGGGGGTGGGAGGGAGGGTAAGGGGGGGGTTCTCTATTTTAAAAATTTTATTGTAGTTTTATAAATGATTGTATGTTTTAAAAAATAAAAAATTTTCAATAAAAAAAGAAAAAAAATAAAACAACAAAGATAGTGCCATAGCTTTCAGAATACAAGATTTTTTAAAATTGGTTTTATACGGATTACGATAACTGGAAGGTGCCAATAAGAGATAGACAGTGAAAGAGAAAGAAGGAGAGAGCTCACACTCTCATAGATACGATAGCCTTGCTCAGGGTTTTTAGGCCATACTTACAAATAGTGTCTGTATTATCACCAGTCTTCCCATGTTGACAAGAGATTGTCTAGAGGGGCTTTTACTTCTATCCATGCAATTAAAAAGAATTGAGTTGAGTAGAGGTGATGATACGATATGAGGTGAGATGGGATGACTTATCAGAAATCCAATTATGTGTTGTTACAGTGTGGTCTCTCTCCTTCTTTCTCTTTCACCATCTTACTCATATTGGCATCTTCTAGAAGTCTTAATGCTTATAAAAACAATCAACTCTATCAGCACTCAAAGGTGGAAGAGCAATATGGACCTTCCATTCAACTTAGAAATTAGGGATGCTGGAGACAAACCCTGGACAAGGCTTCTCATCTCTGCTACTGGAGTTTATATACCCAAAATATGATGTGCAATAAATAGTAAACCTTTAACCGCAATTAATTGAAGAGAGGCATTTTAACTTTGTCCAGATCACACATCTTTGTCCAGAAACACATTTATATAAATATTAACAAAATTAAGAGGAATTGAGACATTGCATGGAATTGAGTAATATATGCTTCAAAAACAATAACAACATAGCAGAGCAGAAAGCACTCTGATTGCTGGGTGCCTTGTCCCAGACAAAGTTTTTTGGAAGAACAGAATGTCTGACTTGCATCTCAGCAAATCATTTCTTTGGGAAAACATGAATACAAAGAGAGAAGTACATAGTGCATTTATGGCTGCAGTAATAATCTCACAGACAAATTTGCAATGCACAAAGCACCATATGTCAACTTGGCCATTTTAGCTCTTTACAGATTTACATGGCAACAACTTCCTTCAATATGTTCAATAAATTACACAAGCTCATTATATCTTTTCAGCCACACACTATGCCAGGAAATGTTTGCAAGGAATTTCTGTGCTGTTCTTTGAAATGGAACAGGCAAACATCAGATTCATCCAATAACTGGGCTGAATTTTGTGACAGGGAATAACAGCAGAGTCTCTTCATATATTAGTCCAGTTCTAATCCAACTGAGACTTATTCCCAACTTAATTAGATTAGAACTGAGAAACTAAGAGAAACTGAGAACTGAGAAACTAAGGAGAATTTTTCTAATGCTGAGAGCAATCAACCAATGGAACTGTTTACCTTCAGAAGTTGTGGGTTATCCATTACTGGAGGCTTTCAAAAAGAGACTAGACAGCCATTTGTCTGAAATGGTATAGGGTCACCTACTTGAACAGGACTAGAAGACCTCAAAGGTCCTTTCCAACTCTATTATTCTATGTTCTGTTGAGATTCTGAAGGGTATGTTATGTTTTCCAAGGGAAAATGAACAAAAGCCAGAACTTTTTACTCAAGAGCTAGCCTGGATCATGTAGTACATACAATACTGTTTTCATTTTTGCAGGAAAATTAAAATATTTTAACAATTAAATTAAAACATTTTAATTTCCTTTCAAAAATACTTTTTAAAGAATGTATAGTAACACCTAGAAGAGGAATCAGCATCAGACAAACAACTGGGCAAAAAACTATAATTTAATCAAACCTAACCAAGGAGCAAACTACAACCCACCATTACCTCATAAGCTACTATGCATAAACAGACAAAAAAAACCCACCCTCGTTCACACTGATAATATTACCTATTATCTATTTGGGAAATGAAATGTCTGCAAGCAAACAATCAAGCTCATCAAGAAATTCACAATTGCCTATTAGCTCATTGGTTCAGTTAGCATATGCACAAAACAAGTTAGTAAAATACATGAAGGTATTTTTCCAGAGAGTTGTACTAGAGTTTTGCAGCAACACCTTTGGGATTAACAAGTTTATTAGGGTATGCATTTGATAGATAGGATCGAATAAAGTATGCGATAAAGTAAACAGCAAGTCCTTTAAGTTTATGTCATAATAGATGTGTTAGCTTTTAATGTGCTGCAAGATTTTACTTTTGGTGGAGTAAAAGCACTTGGCCGTCTTATTGCTTTACATATGTCAGACAAACAAAGAGTTGCATCCAGCACAACTGACATTTTCTTATGCACATATAATTATTGACTGTACTGTATTGATGAGATTGATTGGTAATATCTAGTGATAGCTTTGCATAAATGAATAATTTCATTATTAACTACAGCCTAAGGTGCCAATTAAAAAATTGGTCTTCAGAACTGAAGTAATAATCTATAACTGTAAGGATCCAGTATAGGGAGCAAAAGGAGATAGGAAGACCCATCTTGGATAAAGAGAAATGGTTTTTGCCAATGCAAAACTGTCATTGGATATAAGCTGTTAACAAAAATAAATGAATCTAACTTAGAAATAACAATTCAATATACTGATCTATAAACATATTGATCAGAAATCCAGTCCATGCAAGTAAAGTTCAACATGTGCCTTATAAGATCTCTGACAAGGCCAAACATAGAACCAACTCTGAGCATGCTGAACAAATTTTGTTTTGAGTAGAAAGGTTTATCAAATTCAAAGTTCCTAAGTAGACATTTTCTAATGAAAGAACCAAAACACAGGTATTCATAACACAATACATACATATTACTCTGCATTTATGTTTTAAACTTTCATTGGAAAATGTCTATAATAGCCCTGAACTTAATAAACCTTCTAATTGAAATAATTCTGTGTTATATAGAACAGAACAGAACAGAACAGAACAGAACAGAATAGAATAGAGCTGGAAGGGACCTTGGAGGTCTTCCAGTCCAGCCCCTTGCTCAAGCAGAAAAACCTATACCATCTCAGACAAGTGACTGTCTGGTCTCTTCTTAAAAATCTCCAGTGTTGGAGCGCCCACAATTTCTGAAAGCAAGCTGTTCCACTGGTTAATTGTCCTCACTGCCAGGAAGTTTCTCCTTAATTGTTTCTCTCTTTGATCAGTTTCCAACCATTGTTTCTTGCCCTGCCCCCTGGTGCTCTGGTGAATACCATGATCCCCTTATGTTTTTAGTCAGCGTGCAGCTTTAAACCACAGTCCCCCTAATAGGGAATATTGCCATGTCAGTATTGTTTTGTTGTGGAAAATCAGCACTCAAAAGAAAAAAAAAAGATTTCTAGGGTGTCTTTGCCACATACTTGAAAAATATTCTTATTTGAGATAATTCTTATGTTTTAATTGTCACAATTTCAGGAAATGATGGACATAGTAAAAGCAATTTATGACATGATGGGCAAGTATACTTACCCAGTGCTGAAGGAAGATGCTCCAAGACAACATGTAGAAGTATTTTTCCAGGTAATATTTGTGTGTTCCTACATTGAAAATTTATATTTTTAATCATTTTATATTTGGAGAATACAGTCTGTAGACATCTGCAGAACTTAGAGCTATACTCTAAGCTTCCAAGATTCTGCAGCATTTCTGTATTATGCTTCAAGACCAATACAAAGTCAAAGTGTTTCCGTTTCTCTTTCTTTTTCTTTACAGAAAATGGACAAAAACAAAGACGGCATTGTAACTTTGGATGAGTTTATTGAGTCGTGTCAGGAGGTAAGGTCAGACTTCCTTCCTTCCTTCTACACTAAAACTAGTGAAGAAATCATCTTGATATGCTTCATTCCAATGTATTTATTTTTATTTATTAATCAACTTTATAAAGTCACTCACCTATCCACTGGAACTTTGAGTGACAAAGAGGATAAAAAATATAATCAATTCATCCCTCCTTCTCCTCAAGTTGATGCTTCCCATGAAAATCTCAGGCCATGTCCATAAACCCTTATGTCCATATACCTATGCCAGAGCCTTTGTATCTAATATCTTGGCCCCGGTGCCTGCAGAAACAGGCAGGTCTTTGTGGTCTTGCAAAAGGGCCAAAGGGGTTCTGAGAACTTAAAACTATATGACCCATTCCGCTTATAGGAAAAAAACAGAGAAGTCCAAGTGTAAATAGAGAGTTGAACAGGATTGAAATTTGCACAATTTGCACAGATAAGAAGATGTACAAAGAGAAAAGAATGAAGGAAGTCAAAGCAACATAATAATGTAAATTGTGAAATTGAAAGTAAACACAAGGAAGATTCTAACTTCTCTAAGACTATTGCATAAAGGTCCTGATAAGGAAACAAATTACACTGAGCATGGTAGGGCTTAGCAATACAGAATAGGACTGACAAAAGTTGAGACAGGGGCTTCTTTTGGAAAGCAGAACCAATTTATCTTGGGAGTCCCATTCTAAGTAGAGCTCAGTACAGAAATGGTCAAAGGTATGAATATTTCATTAAAAAAAGTAAACAAAATCTGTTAAAGTAAACACTCCACCCTGCACCATTATCCAAATACTCTGAGTTTTCCCAAGAATCCTATCAAGTAGAGGATTCTCATAACCGGTCAGGTCCCCCCATTCCTCCATCCACCCGATTCCCCCACCCAGAGTTATATGCAATTGATATAAATCCTTATCAAGCTCAGGTAGACAAAGCTCACTCTCAAAACACAGTCTAGGATTTGTTCCTGGATTTGGTCATGCAAAGCTTATGCAGCTTGGCCGGAAAAACAGGATAGATTTGGCCTATATAGGCAAAGCAGGAGCATTTTCAAAATTTCTTTTGGGAGGCTGTGCCTGCCCAAATCCACAATAGGCAGTGGAGGTATTGCAAAGTTTGGGAAAGCTGTAATATATAAATGAAAAAGTAATTATTAAAAGCAAATGTCAGAACATCCTTTTCTGCCTGCCACAAGGGTTAAAATCTCACGCTCAAAGATTTTTGCCACAAAAAAAATTAACTGATTGGCACAATATTCTTGTTGTGATTATGATGTAGGATATCTACATTCACAAAGGTAATTGTCAGTCATTAAGTGATAACACTAGCCCTGACTCTGATTGTGTGGTGTGGGAAAATATATTGAGATAGTTGAGACGAATCAAGATAATTAACTGGTGTATGAAATTCATTGGAAAAAACACAAGCCAAATGGTCTATTTATTTCTTCCCAATTCTAATTTCAGTGAATTCAGTTTGTTTTATTCATTGGAGAAGAAGGGGGTCATCATTGCTACACAATGAACAAAATACATGCACTAACATCTTGAAAAGAAAAGAATGAGGCTTTAAAGAAACATTTTGTTTCTAATCTCTCCCAGTCTTTTTTTTTTTAAAAAATCCTTTATTCTAGTGGCTTTTTAAAAATTAAACATGGAAGGTTTTGCCCTAAAAATTGCTTCTACTGCTCTGCTTTCTTGATTTTGACACTTCTAGTATACATAGGTGATCCTTGCTTACCAACTGCAATAGGGACTGGAGGAAATCACTACAAATCATTAAGTTGATGTCATGTGACTGTGACTTGTGGTTTCCTGCTTTGCTTCCCCATTGACTTTGCCTATTGGAATCTAGTTGTGAAGGTTGCAAATAGCAACAGGTGACCCCAGGATGCTTTGACGCTTGTAAATGTGCAGTAGTTGCAAAGCACCTAAATTGCTGTTATGAAACTGTGGGGATGCTACAATGGTTGCAGTTCAAGGGAGAGTCAGCACCATTGTAAGTTTGAACAGGTGCTGAACAAGGCAGTTATTTGGTAAGTGAGGAGTACTGTTTATTTCAGAAAGCCATTGTAGAAAAGACTATAACTGAAAAGGGTGAAATAAGAGAAGGAACCAGTGCTTTTTTTCTTAAAAAAAAAAAAAAAAAAGGTGCCGGAACTCACACATGTCATACAGCCCGCCTTGCCTATCCTACAAGGTTCCCTCCCAAAAAGGTGCCAGAACTCCGTTCTAGGTGTTCTATGAGAAAAAAAGCCCCGGAGGGAACTATATTTAGAATTTCATTGAAAATTGAAAATTGTAATCCATCTGCTTCCTAACAACTCCCTCATTCCTCCAGTGGCTACATAATAAATTTTAATAGGCCTTTAAAATCCTTTTAAGTATAACTTTCATCAATAAAGATTTCTAATATTCCTTTAGGAGATCACTCTGCATTCTCCTTCATTAAAACAGAGCTAAACTTCATTAAATACATAGCATATATTTTATTTTATTTTTCTTCCAATAATTGTTTATCAGAATAATACTTGATGATCAGCTACTTTGCTGGGCCTTACAGATCTAATTAAACATTGTATATAAACACTGTTTTTCAAATAACTCTTCATGCTTATAATACTTGTTAGAATACAAAAGTATGTAACAAAATATCATAAATATAATGACAATAAATATGTAAAAGACTACCTTTTTATGTAAAGTAAAGCAGGGACTTTTTGAGTGGGACATAGAAGCTTAGGTCTTCCTTTGCGATCCTCTGATTTGCTTGTACATCTCAGTTACGTTCCCAGTAGACAATTTAATCTGATGTTTATTTTAATTTCAGTAGTTATAATTAGCTTGTAAAATCAAATTTGCTTATCTTCAGGTCACCTTATTCACTATTATGATGGCAATAAATTAATATCATTTAGTTTCCCCAACAGACAAGATAATGGTAAAACATCTGGTCCCCTTTAATTTACTCAGTTCAGAAAGAGTGGAAACAAAATAAAAATTCTTCATTTTCTACTTTCCTTCAGAAGAGGAAATTCTCTTTCCATTGTTCCTTTTAAAAAGAATCATCTGGATTCACTGTCTTGATCACAGCATCCAGATTCTCTCCTGTAGCTGCTTTCAAAGAATGGGCAACTATCACACAGTAGTCTATTGACACACAATATTGTACTCAAGTTATCATGCTTGATTGATTGTATGCCATCGAGTCATATTCAATCCCTAGCAGCCACACAGATAGATTTTCTCCTTTCTCAGGTATTCCAACGGTGCACCTATCACCATTATAACTGAATGCATTACTTTCTGCTAGTCATCCTCTTCTTTTTAAATAGGATAAAGTTATCTTTTCTATACTCCAAAGTACAGAAGGATAGAGTTACCCCAGTTTGCTGCAGCTAAGTGTGAATTCATGTATGCTTAACTTAAAAAAAAGAAAAGATGCATGTGTGCTTAACTTTAAAAAGGAAGAAAAGAAAAAGTCAACAAGTGTGACCAGCTGTTCTTACAAGACAGATCGCATTTCCCTTTACTTAGACCTTGTCCGGGAGAGACTTCCTATTTTTCAGGCTTGGTTTCAATCTCTGCAACTGGTTCTTTAAGGTTAGGTTAAACCTCCCTTGTCTCATTAGAATACCAAGCAGACATGGGCAGGGTTTTTTTTTTCTTCCTTCCTTTTCTGATTTCTTGTATTATCATTTGAGCAAAACAATTCCAATTTATACCCAGTATGAGAAGCAATTTTGTCAGAAACAGAAATGTAGCATTTATAATAAATCTATTAGCTCTACCACAATAAATTCAAATTTGAGTCTATTTTACTTAAAACCAAACCCCAAACAAGAACAAAGTAGTTGTACATAACCAGCAGATCAAACTTGTATAGTATATCCATTCAGTTTTATAATCACATTTCCTTATCTCCAGGAAACAGGCCTTGAGGCAAGCAAAATAAATAAGCATTATCTTAACACATTCAGTAGTTCTCCTAAATCATTTGTTCATGTTTGCCTATTTCACTGACTTGTATTCTTGGTCTTGGCCACCTGCATCCTTGGACATCCATCTTCCCTCAGCATTGTTTGATCTGTCATGCTAACCCTTTCCCAGATTATCATGTACCCAATTTTATTTTTTTAAAATAATTTATCACCTTTTCCAGATTATCATAGGCCCCTGGCAACAAAGACTTCCATCATTCAGGTGAAGATCATAGAATCATAGGGCTGGACAGGACCATAACCTAAAGTATGGGGCTAAATTGTAGTTATTAAATGGGGAGTTGCTATGAAAGTGAAGAAAATAATTCAGGAAAAAGAGCTGAAAAAGAAGTTCATCATTTTATTATAGAAACTAGATTCAGTTTCCTGGGAATCCAGAAACTTGAGTCTGGAGAAGGTAAAATCACTTCAAAAAAATCTTTTTATAAGAGCAGATCAAAAATAAAATTAAGGTATCAGAAACAGGATTATTATTGTTAATAAAAATTTACAACAAACTCATAAAAAAGAAAAGGGAAAAAAGAGAATCTTTAAAAGAAATGCAAATCCATTTTTTTTGTCACCCACAATTAATTTTTCTTTTCAAGAGAGTATATATACAACACGTAAAGGTAGTCTGTAAGGAAAATATTATTAATATTTTAGTAGTAATGATGACCAAATGTGATTGAATTTTCTGTTATTAAAGAGTTTTCCAAAGCTCTTACTTTTTTTTTTCAGCCAGGACAACTTCCCACATTGAAATACCTCTGAAATACTTTTTATGAGATGCACTTCAGATTTCCACTGTTTTGCAATAGCAATTCTAGCAGCTAACAGTGAAACTGAATCAATTATATTAATTAAGAATTTATATATGCATGTAGCTGGGTTCAGATGTGATAAATAAAATTGTCATACTGATAATGCATTAAATATCTAGACAATAGACTAACTGAATTATTTATTATAAAATATTGTCAGATGATTTCCTAAAGCACCAGACATGGGCATCAAAATTGGCAACATATATCAATTTCTTTCTACAACTCCAGAAGGGTTGCAATGTAGATAGCATTGTATAATCCTGGCTTGCTGAGCCAGACCAAGAAAGCTTCTTAGAGTTTAAGAATTAAAATTAGATCAGAATCATTCTTATGCCCATTTTTTGGCAGGCATGGAAATGCTCAACTCTTGACAAGAGGGCTGCTTGGGTTGATGGCTTGCTTTTTTCAGCCAATTGGTCAGGGATAAAATGTTGCTTTTTGTTGGAGATTTTGGTTATGCAAAGCTCTTGCCCAAAAAGTCTGCTAATCTTTTGTAGCTGTATTAACATTATAACGAAAAAAACCACAAAAGCATATTTAGAGGATGTATGTACATATACACACATACAAACACACACACACACACACACAGAGAGAGAGAGAGAGAGAGAGAGAGAGAGAGAGAGAGAGAGAGAGAGAGAGAGAGAGAGAGAGAGAGAGAGAGAGAGAGAGAGAGAGTTCAGGAAATCAGCCAAAGCAGCTTAACGTTCTGACATTTTAAATGCATGCAGAAGCTTAAAATTAACCAGTCACAAAACAGGACAGATGCATGAGATCACAGAAACTGGACTTTCTACTAAGAGTAGAACTTCTCACACTTTTGCCCCACTGTACATTCAGACTCATACATGCTAAAGTGTAAACCAGATCATCTGTGGGCCTTTAAAAACAATCCTCCATCACTATCACAGACTGGACAAAACTGTGCCAGCAACTTAAATGTGTATATTGTATTTTCTTGTTGTTTCTAGGATGACAATATCATGAGATCCTTACAGCTTTTTGAAAATGTCATGTAACAGCAGCTGAAGAGCAGTCTAGAAATCTGAGACTTTATATGTACTGAGATCCTGAAGAAAACAAGTCAAGATTTTTTCTCCCCACCATCCTTTTTGATGAAAGCTTTTTACTACTTGGACAGATTCAGTGTGTAAGGATTTTGTATGTTACTGCAAACTGAGCTGTGTCTCTGAATGCAACAAACTCAATCTTGCCTCCCTCAAGAGACACTGACTAGAATTTATTTCATTTGGAAGCATGCTAATAAAATATGACCAGAGAGACCTGCTGCTTAAAGTTTAATAAATTATTGAAGTTTAAATTATTGAAACAATATTCAACATTCTATTAGCTAATCACAGAAAATCTGCTGCTTTGACTCTAGCAAGCTGGATTGCATATGGTAACACAGCCTCAGTAGCTTCTTTAATCATCTATTGTGAGCAGAAACTCATTCTTGTATCACCACATTGTGTTAGCATTTTCCTTTAATGGTACTGGAAAGGTTTGTGCTACTTTTAAAAGCTGACACAAATATAACATGGTAAATGGGGGATTTGATTCATTTAGCACCTGTCTGGACAATTATTTATTTTTGTTTACTGCACAAATATTTGTTGGCAATAAATGTAGAGCAGTGACTAATTTATTGTACCAGATTGAGGCATTTTTTTTTACCCAAGGAAAGGCTTTCCACTGCATTTTCTTAGCATTAAGATTGTGTTGGAAATATACATTTCTTTTCACCACTAACAAAATAGTTGCAATCTGGAATCTACCTGCGAAAGGGGATTTCCACATATGCTAAAATTCTCACTTTTCAAGACAAAGATTTGACAAGCTGGTCCATTTCAAAACTGCCACTGTCGCCTCTCCCTCTCACCCAGAGCATATATTCAAGTATATTCAAGTAAAATTAATAACTTGGTGCTGAGCGTGTGCAAGAGAAAGGTTACCAAGGTTGAAACTGAAAAGTATGTGTAGGTGTGTTTTTGACACATTTTGCTATTTGATTACTAAGTTGCAGCTGTTGTGTGAGTTTCGTCTGCGGGCTGAGTAAAATAGAGTATATCTGATCCAATAGAAAGAGGAAAGAATCAAGGACAGTCAATGCCATAACCTACTGTATAGATAAGGCTAGTGTTTTATTGCTTTTGACTTGAAAAAGTATTACTGTAAAAAAAGATGGTGTGCTTTAAAGGATTTGGAGCCAATTGTCTAGCTGTCCCATTGTTTACCAAACCTGTGCATGCAGTTGCCTTAAGAGTTGAGTTTTTTAAAAATCGGTTCTCTAAAGACTGCTTTAACATGTAGCAGAGAAGTGATACTCTCACAGGAGTTCCAAAATATTTCCCGCAAACCTTTTTCAACATATTTAATCACTCCCTTTTTTGCTTTCAAAAAGTCCAGTTTAGGTTTTTCCTCTATGCTCTCTGGTGATGATTCATATGAGACTGGGAATCACATAAAAACAGACTACAGCATACTTTTTGCAGACAATATCAGAAAAATATGTAGCTAAATAGGACAACAGTTTTGCCTTATTGTTTCAATTGACCTAAAGATATAGAACCAAGTTTCAAGCTTCTAAAAAGTTTCAGAGGAATGGACTCTCCAACATTTCTACGTCATTGCTCAGTACAACATATAAGATATGATTTTATTGAGCACACAACATTCACCAGTTTATTATGCCTTGCATTCAAGCTAAAATGTGCAGGCTCTTCTTTGTATTGTATTGTATTGTGTACCTATAGTTTTCAAGCACAAAACTAGCCATAATGGGCCTCTGTATGCTGAAATGAAGTCACTGCATAGTTCATAGTTTCATAGTTAAGCAATTTAGATTACATTTAAGTGTTCCAGGATATAAAAGTGTTAAAATTTCAAGCTATCTTTAAGCAAACCTTGATTTTACTGGAGCTGAGAGCTCCAGTTTTTAATACAAGGATATTAAAACTCAGGATGAATAACCGCTCTTTGGAGATTTTGAGGGAGGAAATGTTTGCATCATTTCAAAAAAAAATATTCTCACATCCTAATTATGTTTTTGCCCTTTTGAGATGCAAATATTTAAAAATAAAAATTCAACCAGTTACTTTGAGCTATTTTGTTAGCCGTTAACATGACTGATGCTGATGCTAACAGAATGAAAGATAGATTGATAATTTTAAAATGAAATTTGAGGTTTCAAAGTCCAAGGCTACATTTTAAACTATACGCAGTACATATCATTCATGTTGTGACAATTTCACACTACAGTGCCATTTTTTTTCAAATGGAAGTCCCAGGAAATGCAAACAGGACAGTGTTCAGTGCATTTTCTTAGCATTACATTAGGTTACAATCCTAATGAAGTAGTTTTGAAGTAAATTCTACTGAAAGTATTAATGGAATTTACTTCCAAATCATCTTGGTTAAGACTGAACTTACTAATTCAAATACAATTGCTTTCAGGATCAGTCACAGATTTAGCATTTAAAATTAGTACCTCCAGTACATGCAGAAGTCTCTGACTGAACTTATTGAGAGTTGCTTATCTGCTTAATATAGTCTTGCAATGAGACACATGGAGAAAGGAACCCAGAAAGATGTCACTCTTGGAAATACATGAATGGGAGGGAATGCTTATATGGCCCCAACCCTTTTCTTCTATATATGGACTTCTCCATTTCCTTACCCACCTTAAGATATTGTTAGCATATCTTTTGTTCTAGCAAAATGGTGTTTTATTTCAGATAAGTGAAACAATGGGCCTGATCTTTGGTTAAACTAAGCAGGAAACAAGAGATCAAGAGATAGGAAGACTTTCCAGCCCAATTCTGTCCTGGAGCTTCAGATCTGATCTCTGCATCTCTCCACCAGTGGCAGATAAACATGCAACTAAGCTTTCAGCTCGTCATTCCCAGAGGCTCCCAAGCCAACTTGGCAGGAAAGACATTATACACCAACAGAAAACTGTCTAATATGGGATTCACATCCTAGGCGGCACCATGTTAGTCAATACCAATAAAAACCACTAATTTCCTACTTGTTCTCCTGAAAGTGAAAAGAATCAGCTCTGGAAAAGCAATTTTTAGTTGAGCTTAAGAACTAACTGTGAGAGATTATAGCTGAATAGATACAAAATAAAATATTGAACATTTATATTTAAGAATTAAATCTAAATTTGATTTCCTGGTTTAAGAAAAATTGTTCAGATTATACATTTTTAAATACACAAGAATGAAGTTATTTGAAAAGCAGTACCAAGTCCTTGATTTTTTTTTTCCTGGGGAAAAAATAACTAAGGGCTGCAACAAGTAGCTTTTCTTATATTGTTCTTACTTGTGACCATCATATTTTCAATAAGGTTTTAGCTATATTTTTACAACAGATTATGTATTATTAGCAAGGAAAATATATTTTAAAAATATCATTCATAATTCTATATTTTATAAAGCACATTAACTGTAAAGTCTTTATACAGAAAGTTGTAAACCTGATACTACTGTAACTGGATTTGTAATGTGATGGGCATGTTCTCAGAAAACTTTTAGATGCCTTTTAGATATCTTGTAGAATATATTTGGAGGTTTTTATCCCCAGTGATTTCTCCAGTTCTCAAGTGTCCCTCCTGTGTCTGGCTCAACTGCTTTCTAGTCCCAGCACTTCCCAATATCCACTGACAAACCTTGGAAGCATGATCACCATCAAAGTACTCTAGGTATAGAGATATGTAACTTTCCAGATAGCCTTATGGGATTCCTTCCAATGCAACCACCATGGGCTTTTTGCAAACTGAAACCCCAGAAAGAGATTCCCCTCTGCACCTCTCTTTCTTCTTTGTCAATTAGCTGGCAGGATTTTTTCTTTTTCCTAATGGCTTAGTATATGAGACACTGACTGCTTGGTCCACACTCCACATCTGTTCTACTATATAGAAGGAAAGAGACTGCAGACTGGTAAAATGGAATGGGGAGGAGAATTAAATTGAGGTTATGAGTCTTTGTAACGAGGGAATAGACAAGCAAATAATTACAGATATAGGAGAAAGAGGTAAAGAAATTAAGAATGTTTCCCCAGCTTCAACCATTTAAGAATTGTTGAAGATGAGTTAAAACATTAAAATGATACCACGTTAATATTGCTTCAGCATGAAGGAGTTAAGCAGACTCTTAATTTTCCATGAAATTTAAACAGGTGTAATTTTTTTTCTGAATCAAACTTTATACAAGCTTTTCCTTAACATATGGGTTGAAGATGACAGAATTTGTAGATCAGAATTTATGTATTAGACACACAGCTCACAAATTTTAGATAAGTTTAGCTGCTGCAATAAATTAAATATATATCTTACAGAATTCATCTTTTGAAAGTAACTCTTCTGAATTCCTGTAGGAGAGTTCTTTACCTAAAATCAAGAGAAGAAAGAGAGAAAAAATATTATACGACTTCTTAGTACAACACATTTCTCACAAATTCTGAGGCACAATACAAACAATTGTTCAGAGAGAGATGTTGAGAACCTCACTGGGGCTTCTAGGGAGAGACAGATTTCAAATTTATCCTACTGCAATCGCACTTTTTGTAAACCTCTACATTTATATAAATCAGCATATTTAATAAGAATGTGTATCAGACTGAAGTAAATTCTGAATTGGAACTGAGCTCTTCATGTTCTGAAGTTCCATGAAAATCTCTTCAGTATGACCCAAATTAATTTGGTATTAAATTGCTTTCTATAGAGAAAGCAACTCTGCTTACTAGAATTGGGTATGTCTAGTTTAACGAAGAGAAGGACAAGGGGGGACATGATAGCAGTATTCCAATATCTCAGGGGCTGCCATAAAGAAGAGGGAATTAAGCTATTTTCCAAAGCACCTGAAGGCAGGACAAGAAGCAACGGTGGAAACTAATCAAGGAGAGAAGCAACCTAGAACTAAGGAGAAACTTCCTGACAGTGAGAACAATTAATCAGTGGAACAGCCTGCCTCCAGAAGGAGTAAATGCTCCAACACTGGAAGTTTTTAAGAAGAGACTGGACAGCCACTTGTCCGAAATGGTGTAGGGTTTCCTGCCCGAGCAGGGGGTTGGACTAGATGACCTCCAAGGTCCCTTCCAAC